GGCGTGCCCAAAGCTTTAATACAAACGCCAGAATATTTTCGCGATAATATTCGGCATTTATTCTTATGCCATGGTCGATTAATACCATGGCCGGCGCTTGAGTTCTCGTGGTCAACCGAAGGTGCACATTTTCAGCTGACCTCTATGGCAAGTAAACTCATTGGAGAAAACCAAATTGGAGAAAACCAAATTCGGCAGTTCACTATTTTTGGCCAAGCTAAGCAACTCTTTAGCTCTTTTGAGTCTTTCTGTTGCTGTGTACGTTCTTGCACTTTTTGGAATTTCAATGGCTTTAACCCGAGCTCATTTTTTCAATATTTGCCGAATTGAATATTGCGATATCTTCAGCTCACAAGCTATTTTTTGGCCACTGTGACGCTGGCTTTGATCAAATCGCTTCTTTACTTTTCGAACTATTTCTGCTGATGTTGCTGTTACTGTTTTCCTCCGGCCACCTCCTTGACATCGGGCTACGCTACCAGTATCTGTATCACGAGCAATGGTACGAGACGCAAAAAGTGCTCTAACGATAGCCCCTTATGGTTTTCCAGGCAAATATAAAGAAATCACACTATCACGCTTGAATTCCATCGCGAATATTTTTTTGGAAAATTCTCACCAAAATGCTTTTGTACCCTTGTAAACCATATAATGAGCTGTCACTGGAATAATTTTAACAGCTATCGGACGAGTGACTTAGAAATGACAGTAGTCTGAATTTGGTTGCAGTTTTTTCATCTCACCCTGTACCCTGCAAGTTCGGAGTGAAGTTTTTAATGATATCCAGGTGTTAAATATATTTCAAATATTCCCCATTGTTAACTACTCTATTATTTCCCCCACTAATTGTTTCTAATTTCAACTTTTAATGACACAGCAAACATTTACTCGATGTTTGGGGATGTTCCAATTCTATTATTTTCAAAAATTGAAGCAAATTATTTTAATTTTGATTGCATTACTTTTAAATAAAATAATAGAACTTATTGTCATTTGGTATATTTGTATGACAAACATGTATTTGAACTTCTATTTGTATTGACATTTCTCCTCTTCTTTTTTTTTTGTGTTTGCCTGACTTTGTCGTTATTTGCTCGATCCATTCAACTTGAATACTCAACTTGGCCTTAATACATTTTCGAGTATATTTCATTGAAATGTTCTTGAACTCTACGTTCTTGTTTTGTTTACATGGCAAGTATTTATGAACGAGTATTTTCCTATGAATAGAAAGTTTTGCCAAAGTTTAAAGTAGCTGTCAAAATTTGTTGTTTTTTCTCCAATTTTTGTGGGGAGGTAATTAAAATAAACATATGGGACCCAATGAAATACAAATTGCCCCAGGATGTTGCCTGGTAATGTCTATGACTTAGGATGTTATTTATTTTGTTGTGGTTAAGAAACTTTTAAGTATGACTTTATAAAGTTGATTATTTTTTAAAGAGTATTTTTTCCAAATAAATGTCAATTAAACGGAAGATTTTAAAGAGAAGTGTTTTTTTTTTAATATTTTTTGATGGGAGAAATACAGTAGCTTGTTCTTTAAGACACATCTGGTTGTGAAGTTCACCTAAATACCATTATTAATGTATTTTTCACAATTCCAGCCTTGAAGTATGCAATATTTTAGGGAATATGGTATTTTATTGACAGTATAACAAGAGACAGCCTTTGAGTGATGATTAATCAAACTGTTGACCCTTTATGGGGCAGGTTCTGACCTAAAACTGACATAAGTATTACAACGTGCTTTCGATTTGGACTATATCGGTAACTTCCTATACCTTATATGGGATATGTGCAGATTTTTCGAAGATTTGGAAATATACGTAAGATAGCAAATACAGACGACCGAAGAATTCCAATTTTATACCCTCCACTCTAGTATGGAGCCATGTCTGTCTGTCCGTCTGTCTGTGGTAATCAAGTTATCTTTCGAACGAATTGAGATAGAAGGCTAAAATTTTGCACACATGTTTATTTTTCCAGTAGGCAGATTAAGTTCGTAAATGGGTCATGTAGATCCACGTTTTCATATAGGCCCCATATGACGGTACCTCCCGATATTCGGTATTTTAATGATTTGAGCGACATTTTTCACCGGAAAAGTTTCAAATTTGGTATTTGAAGTTCGTAATAGGAACTACAGTCTGTGACAGAAAATTGTTTGTGCAGGTCCACGATATTCGGTATTTTAATGATTTTAGCGACATTATTCACCGGAATTGTTTCAAATTTGGTATTTGAAGTTCGAAATGGATACTACAACCTAAGACAGAAAATTGTCTGTGCAGGTCCACGTTTTCGTATAGCCCCCATATAACGGTACATCCCGATATTCGGTATTTTGATGATTAAAGCGACATTATTCACCGGAATTGTTTCAAATTTGGTATTTGAAGTTCGTAATGGGAACTAAAGTCTGTGACAGAAAATTGCCTATGCAGGTCCAGGTCTTCGTATAGGCCCCATATATCAGTATCTCCCTATATTCGGTATTTTGACGATTTTAGCGACATTATTCACCGGGATTGTTTCAAGTTTGGTATTTAAAGTTCGAAAATAATACTACAGCCTAAGACAGAAAAATATCCGTGCAGGTCAACGTCTTCGTATAGCCCCCGTATAACGGTACCTCCTGATATTCGGTATTTTGACGATTTTAGCGACATTATTCACCGAAATAGTTTCAAATTTGGTATTTGAAGTTCGTAATGGGAACTAAAGTCAGTATCTCCCTATATTCGGTATTTTGACGATTTTAGGTACAATACTCACCGAAATTGTTTGAGATATCGTATTTGAAGTTCGTAATGGATGCTACAGCCTGTGACAGAAAATTGTCTATGGTAGGTCCAGGTCTTCGTATAGCTCCGAAATAAAGGCACCTTCCTATATACGGTATTTTGATCCTTGATTCACCGTTTATATCAAGTTTCGAATTTGAATATGGTAATGGCTAATAACAAACAGCGCCTATGTAGGTCCACTTCGTATAGACCCCAATATAACGGCTATATTCGGAACTCAAGCGCCAGCCATTGTGATGGTGTGGGCCGCCATAACAGCCGATTGTCTCTCTCCGCTCGTGTTAATCGACCGTGGCATCAGAATAAATGCCGAAATATCTGGAGGGTGTATTAAAGCCTTGGGCACGCAAACATTTTGGCCGCAGACCTTGGACATTCCAATCGGACTCAGCACGCGCCACCCAAGAATGATTACTTCATTCCAGCGCAAAATGGCCACCAAAATCTCCGGATACCAAACCGTTAGACTATTCTGTCTGCAGTATATTTTTGAAAGCAATGTTGGCACTAAAAAATACCAAATTTGTCGATCACTTCAAACAAGCGCTACGCTGGGAATGGACCAAAATACCGCAGAGCAACAGTCGGGAAGCATGTGTCGGTTTCATTGGTAGTTTGAAGGCCATAATTCGTGCCAAAGCTGACCAATTCGAACAAATCTAAACTTATTCTAAAATTTGATGCTATTTCCGACATTTTTTGATTTCGTTAAAATTTTCCCACCCCCTGTGAACCACCCTAATGTGCTGATATTTAATTTTGCTTTAAAAAAAATATTTATGTAAGAGATAACACGACCCGCTTCTTTTTATCGGAAGTCATAAAAGCAAGTGTGTGTGTGTGTATTTTTGGCGAAGAAAACAAAATGTGTTAATAAATTAAATCTCCTCACAGAGAAAAAAAATAAAATAAAAATAACATCAAAAAACGCAATTGTTTATTTTAATGTTAGATAATGAATGTTATTGCTTTTGATTTTGTTGTTTTATTTTTTATTTATTTGTTTTTTTTTTTTTTTGCAGACAACATACCTACAAACATAACAATCACCAGACATAGCCCCATTGATTTCTATTATTTTCAAAGGTCGCGCAAAGATTGATTTAAACATTGGCAATAATTTGCTACCATCAAATTGAAATTATTGAACGAACGAACAACATTTTGTTAAGCTATTGTTGGGTGGGGGGATGGGGGAGATGCTGTTTATGAGTTGCTGCTACTGCTTCTGGCGTCGATGTGATATCACACATCGAACTCATCAGGAAATCATCGTTAATTCAATACTCTTTGGCAAAAGGTCTTTGGGCGTTATTCATTCATTTTTTTTTTTTTTTTTTTGATGGGGGTTTTTATTGTTTGCCGGTGAAGATATTTGTTATGTGTGGCGTTAATGACAATGATGGATACTTATTAGGGGGCTGGAGATGATGATTTATTTGAGAAGTTATATAAAAATTGTGGCATTTGGATTTCGTAATATTTGTGGGTAATAGAAACCAGGGGACAAGGGAAAGTGTTAAAGGTCTTCAACCGAAAAAAGTGAGAAAGTAGTTGATTTTTTTATCGGAGTAAGGAATAATTGGGACAGTATGACTGTCCTTTTAGGGACCTTGAAGAAGAATTGAAGGCTTTATTTTTTCAATAATCGCTCACACCCATTGACCTTCACCAACGAAGTATCACACACAAAATTCCCACCATTTGATAATGCTTCAACAACGTTTAACAAACACAACACCAATCGCCACCAATCCTCTACCATTACAAAATTTCCAAATAATTTCCACAAGATGCCTTCGCATCAAATTATCACGATGCCACCCCCCGCCGCAAAAAAAAAATGCCAACTAAGCGGATCATAAAATTTAACACTGATTAGCAGGCAGCATTAAGAGCTCATTAAGAGAAATAATGCTGATATTATGCAGAAAAGTTTTCAGACTTTTTGTTCAGAGGGCAAAGAGCGACAATTTCCTCTTCAAAAAAGATGAAAAAAAAAAACAAATCATAAAAGAAAACGATCCCCCAAAATATTTCCACGCTTGTTAATTGATACAAAACAAAGACATGATTTTTTATTAGCTTCTGTTTTTTTTTCTTATTTTATTAAATAATATTTCAAAAAAATATGTTGAAAGGAAAATGTTGCAAATTATATTGTGGCGTTATGAAGTAATCAAAACTTACCTTATTTTAATAATTCATGGGATTTTTTTTTTGGAGTGATGAAAGGAAATGTTAAATTATCCGCAAAACCGGTGATGTATTGTGGAAGAGGTTGTTGTTTATATTATTTTCGAAATTTTTATCTGGAAATAGAAAAAGAAAAACAAACTATTATTAAACAAGTAAGCAGAGGCTTAAGTAATGTGGATCCGACCATATGTGATAATCTAAAACACTACAATTGAACATTTAATTTTTTGTGTGGGAGTTACCGGTAGGAGTGGGCCGATGTTGCCATCCTCGAACTCAATCTAAATTTGGTAATATTATTACGATGTATCAAGTTTGGACGAAATCGGCTACTCATATTTTCCATAAAAAATTTTCCCGATAACTAAATTTTTTAAAGAAAGGATGTTCAATAAAAAAAATTTTCTAAAGAAACTATGTTTGATAACAACATTGTCCACAGATAAGTTATTCGATAACAACATTTTCCACCAAAAAGTTGTTCAATAACAATATTTTCTACAAAATAGTTGATCGATAACAACATTTTCTATAGAAAAGTAGTTCGATAATAACATTTTTCATATAAAAGTAGATCGATAATAATATTTCCTATAGAAATGTTGTTCGATAACAACATTTTCTATAAAAAAGTTGTTCGATAACAACATTTTCTAAATAAACGATGTTTGATAACAACATTTTCTATAGAAAAGTTGTTCTATAACAACATTTTCTATAAAAAAGTTGTTCGATAACAACATTTTCTATAGAAAAGTTGTTCGATAACAACATTTTCTATAGAAAAGTTGTTCGATAACAACATTTTCTATAGAAAAGTTGTTCGATAACAACATTTTCTATAGAAAAGTTGTTCGATAACAACATTTTCTATAGAAAAGTTGTTCGATAACAACATTTTCTATAGAAAAGTTGTTCGATAACAACATTTTCTATAGAAAAGTTGTTCGATAACAATATTTTCTATAGAAAAGTTGTTCGATAACAATATTTTCTATAGAAAAGTTGTTCGATAACAAAATTTTCTATAAAAAAGTTGTTCGATAACAACATTTTCTATAGAAAAGTTGTTCGATAACAACATTTTCTATAGAAAAGTTGTTCGATAACAACATTTCCTACAGAAAAGCTGTTCGATAACAATATTTTCTATAGAAAAACTGTTCGATAACAAAATTTTCTATAGAAAAGTTGTTCGATAACAATATTTTCTATAGAAAAGTTGTTTGATAAAAATATTTTCTAAATAAACGATAATTTCAATAACAACATTTTCTATAGAAAAGTTGTTCGATAACAACATTTTCCACATAAAAGTTGTTCGATAACAATATTTTCTAAATAAAAGTTTTTTGATGAAAAAATTTTTAAAATTTTCTAAATAAACGATGTTCGATAACAACATTTTCTATAGAAAAGTTGTTCGATAACAACATTTTCTATAGAAAAGTTGTTCGATAACAACATTTTCTATAGAAAAGTTGTTCGATAACAACATTTTCTATAGAAAAGTTGTTCGATAACAACATTTTCTATAGAAAAGTTGTTCGATAACAACATTTTATATAAAAAAGTTGTTCGATAACAACATTTTCTATAAAAAAGTTGTTCGATAACAACATTTTCTATAAAAAAAGTTGTTCAATAACAACATTTTCTATAGAAAAGTTGTTCGATAACAACATTTTCTATTTTGTTCGATAAAACATTTCCCATAGAAAAGATGTTCGAAAACAATATTTCTTATAGAAAAGTTGTTCGATAACAATATTTCCTATAGAAAAGTTGTTCGATAGCAACTTTTTGTACAGAAAAGTTGTTCGAAAACACCATTTTGAATAGAAAACTTGTTCGATAACACTATTTCCTATAAAAAAAAGTTGTTCGATAACACCATTTTCCATAGAAATTGTGTCCGATAACAGTCTTTTCTATAGAAAAGATGTGCAATGATAGCCTTTTCTACAGAAAATTTGTCCGATAACAACCGTTCCTTTAGATAACAAAATTCGATAACAAGCTTTTTTATCGAGATATCGTCCGATAATACCTTTTTCTATATACAACAACTATATACTGTTCCGCTCTCATCCCATTTAAAATCATTTATCATTCTTGCATAATGTCCGTTTTTTTACGAATGTGTGTGAACATATTTTTCATGTTCGGTGTTTTAAACAAATCTCAAATAAAACTGAAAATGACACCGTATCAACATTCATTGAAAACGGTTGAAAGAAGAGGGTACTGATGCTGTGTAAATTTATTGTTAGTGATGAAAATTACACCAGCCCAGAAAAAAAAAGGGGGAAAGAAAATACTGCTCTGCAATCAGGAGCGTTGTCCAAATTTTAAGGCTTCGGATAGATAGAATTTGGCAAAAAGGCCATGCACGTTATGGGTCCGGGAATTTCCTATTCCATTTGCCTGATTTTGCCTCTATTATTAGCCCCTATCCACGATGATTGCCTGCTAAATCAATTACCACGTCCATGCTTCCAGCTAATGTTCAGAAAAAGAAACACCATAAAATAATCGAAATAAAATAAATTCTGTCAACGAGGCAAAAAAAAAATCAGCTTTGCAATCATGGAGAAAAATGCTATCTCGTTTAATGTTCGTTTCATTTTTTGTTATGTTTTGTGGCACATCAAACATTTTTTGTTTGATTAATAAACGGGGACCAAAGAAACCCATTAAAAATAAATTAATAAAAAATAAAGTGGTGGCGAACAGAAAAAATAGAAAAAATACAAGAACTATGTATAATTTTAGGGAGCCGGTGTTGATTGCCTTTCAACGAATATTTTTTTTGTTTTTTCATTTCCATTCCAATTTCATTCCCATTCAGTTTTTAATTGCATTGACATGTATTTGTGGGCCAGCAAAAAAACGCTAACTGTAAACTGATAACAAAAAAGCGTGGCGTTTTTGTTGTGTTTGCTGTTTGGCGAATGCTGACTGTTGTGCTGCTATCAGCTATCACATTCGGAATTGTTGAGCCTTAAGTGTTTATTCAGGCAGTGTAAAGCGAGAAATGTATACACTGACGTGTTTTAATTTTTATCAAATATTCGATAAAAAATAAAACTATAAATGAACATTATTCTTAGGAATCGGAGAAATTTCATTACATTTAAATTCGGGAATTCAACATCCAAAAAATCGGTCTATAAAGGAAATTTTTTTCTAAATATTTAATTTTTCAAGTGCTACCTAATCACTTTTCAATGTATTCAATGTTGTTATCGAACCACTTTTCTATAGAAAATGTTTTAATCGGACAACTTTTCCATAGAAAATTTTGTTATCGGACAACTTTTCTATAGGAAATGTTGTTACCGAAATACTTTTCCATGAAAAATGTTGTTATCTAAAATCTTTTCCATGTTGTTATCGAACAACTTTTCCATGGCAAATCTTGTTATCAAACCACTTTTCCTTGAAAAATGTTGTTATCGGACAACTTTTCTATAAAAAATGTTGTTATCGGAGAAATTTTCTATAAAAAATGTTGTTATCAAACAACTTTTCAAATGAGAATGTTGTTATCGAACAACTTTCCTATAGAAAATGTTGTTATCGAGCAACTTTTCTAGAAAAAATGTTTTTATCTAATAACTTCTCCAGATAAACATAATTTCTATATAAAATGTTGTTATCGAATTACTTTTCTAAAGAAAATGTTGTTATCGAACAACTTTTCTAAAGAAAATGTTGTTATCGAACAACTTTTCGATAGAAAATGTTGTTATCGGAAAACTTTTCTATTGAAAATGTTGTTATCGGAAAACTTTTCTATTGAAAATGTTGTTATCGGGCAACTTTTCTATAAAAAAAGGTTGTTATCGGACAACTTTTCTATAGAAAATGGTGTTATTCGACAACTTTTTTATAGGAAATGTTACTATCGGACAATTTTTCTATGGAAAATGTTGTTATCGGAGAACTTTTCTATAGAAAATGTTGTTATCGGAGAACTTTTCTATAGAAAATGTTGTTATCGGACAACTTTTCTATAGAAAATGTTGTTTTCGGACAACTTTTCTATAGAAAATGTTGTTATCGAACAACTTTTCTATAAAAAATGTTGTTATCGAACAACTTTTCTATAGAAAATGTTGTTATCGAACAACTTTTCTATAGAAAATGTTGTTATCGAACAACTTTTCTATAGAAAATGTTGTTATCGAACAACTTTTCTATAGAAAATGTTGTTATCGAACAACTTTTCTATAGAAAATGTTGTTATCGAACAACTTTTCTATAGAAAATTTTGTTATCGAACAACTTTTCTATAGAAAATTTTGTTATCGAACAACTTTTCTATAGAAAATTTTGTTATCGAACAACTTTTCTATAGAAAATTTTGTTATCGAACAACTTTTCTATAGAAAATTTTGTTATCGAACAACTTTTCTATAGAAAATTTTGTTATCGAACAACTTTTCCATGGAAAAAGTTGTTATCCAACAACTTTTCTGTGGAAATTGTTGTTGTCGAGCAACTTTTCAAGAGGAAATGTTGCTATCAAACGTTGTTTATTCAGAATGATAGAAGCAATTGAATGTTTTCTTCTTAGTCATGTAAAATTTCCGGTAATATGGCAACCTTGTAATATTTTTTTTTTCGAATTTAGTACCTATTTCGCTTCAATGCTAACAAATTACACATCTCATTACGCAGCATTTTTCTGTCTCTTAGTAATATTTACGATATTTCCTATTTTGCGTGTTAATTTGATTGTGGTAAGCTAAAAAAAACTGCTGGCCTCTATGGCTTTTAACAAATGTTGCGTTACTTTGCATAACTCTGTAAAGGCCTTGAAATTTAAGCAAATGCAAGAGACGTCGTTGTGCTTCAGTGGAAAACTAAACGCAGTTAGATCATTGTCAAACGACTATTGCACAATGACTAATAATCAGTTTTGAAATGACAATAAAAACAACAACAAGCTTTAAAATATTTTCACATTTACAATAAAAATTTACCAAACATTGACATTTTACGATTTTTCTTAACTGAACTTTGCATCAAAGCCAAAAAAAACTCAATCTACTCTACAGCCATGGTTGATGATGGCATTGTAACCTCTATCGAACTTTTTTCGAAA